CTACTTACCTCCGTAAACAATTACAGTCGACCCCCTATAACACTGTTGATAATTCCGTTTTATATGAATTCCATGTTGTACGAGTCACTTAGATTTTACAAATATGTGAGCGGTTCAAAGCCCGGCACACGCATTTATAAAATCTAAGTGACTCGTACAACATGGAATTCATATAAAACGGAATTATCAACAGTGTTATAGGGGGTCGACTTGTATTCTGCTAATATATTCTATTTTAATATATTATAATCCATCGATTTTATATTTTTAACGTATTATTTTATTAGAGGGAAGTTTATGTATTAAATGTAATTATGGAAATTTGTCGTGCAATGGCTTAAAAATTAATTTATTAAATAAACTAATAAATTATTTATTTAGAAAATTAAGTTACAGAAATCTTTAAGGTATAATTTCTTAGATGATAAACTAATTTAAAGAGAAATTACTAAAGAAAATTGCAGTTAAAAATGTATATATACATATATTCAAGAGACTATGGTTTATTTTTCAGGAAGTTCTTCAGTAGAGAATGAACAAAACTTAAATAGTGGAAAGAATGTTTGTATAGAATTTTTATAATTATAAAAATATCTAAAAACTATGCTTTACTTAAACATACAGAATGTCCCATAAGTCATATAGCATAAGCAAAATAACTGTACATATGGTACATTGGATGCGATTGCCTGTTGTACACACAGATTTAGATGGCTGATCCAATCAAATCTTGCAAAATGTCAAGAGTCACGGCCTGTAATTCTGGCCTTTAAATGGGTAAATGACACGATCTGTTCATCTAAATGGCCTATGTATGGACCGTTTGTCTCGTGTCTACATTGTCCTGAAAAGGAGAAATCAATTACAATTCGTCTATTGTGCATCTATGAGACATCCTGTATTACAGATTAATTAATAATTATATTTTCATTATTAATTTTCCAAAATTGATAACAATACATATAAAACAGAAATTTTATTACTTTAGTTTCAGTTTGAAGTCAAAGACTTAGATGAAGTAAATGACTTAAATAGAGTCAGAAACTGCAGTGGAAGAGGTTGCCCCCATTGTATAAGATGTACTCGTAAACCAACTAGGCCTACTACAAGAACACCAACACCAACACCAACCACAACGAATGAACCAACTTCAGCTGAAACTACATCAACTATAACAAGTACAATGGAACCGACATCTACTTCCACTCAACCGATCACCACAGAAACGTCAACAATAACAAGTAAATAAAGCTTCATTATTTATTATAACGATTATGTAGATCATGAATAATGAGTGATGAAACGATTTAATTATTAATTAATTAATTAATTAATTAAATTCCAATATCAAATTTAGTCTCCAATATAGCACAAATCTAATACAACAAAAATTGGAATCGAAGCGAAATTCATTGTCGTGGCAGCGATGTACGCTGATTAACCGATTTTCAGGACACGTCATGTTTCGTAAGTACTGTACATTCAATTCGAGAGGTTTCAACTGCACGGTGTCTCGATTTAGTTGAAATCCATTCTCTTGGCTTCCTAAAAATATGGCTTACGAGACATTAGAGGAACCACTACGAATTGCCTGATCTCTTCAATTACTGCTAGGCTGTCAGCATACATCACGTCACTACTAAAGAAAATAGCAGTGTCTTTACACCTCTCCTGGTGTTCCGCTTTATAACTGTTTCTCCATATTTGCATACACTAATCTTTAGAGCCAAAACAGAAACTGGGTTCTTCACTAAACATATCGCACCATTCTGTGATTCAACCGTGTTCGTGAGCGCAACGGAATAACACACTGAATCGTCGATATTCTGTCGTTAATGGCAGATATCTAGGCGATCTCTTAGACTGGATTCTTGCCTCTGCCAATCGTCTGATGAGGCAGGATTCCATTCAACCGTCAAGGAATACATCCACGCAATGTCCTATTGGATATTATAGAAATACAACCATGCCGTTGGATAGTCGTTGGAGTAGTTGAGGCTTTTATCACCATCCCGCGACAACCTATTGGTTGTTTTGAAGGGCCGACCAGTCTTGTCGATCTATCTATAGACCTTCTTGTACCCATTGTTTCTGTTTCATTTTTGGCTCTTTACGCCTTGTGGCATTATGAGAGCCTTTTTCATATCCTTGGTGGGGGTTCAGCCAAGCCCACGATGGGTGCAATCGGGTGGTGTAGAATAAACCACTCCCAAAAATTCCTGGACTTTTCGATCCGGCGGGTTCGATCTCTAATTTTTTCTAGACAGCTTATTTCTAGTTTTGACCTCACAGCAAGAGGCCAAAACTACAAATAAACAGGTTAGGCACCTTTATTTCTCATTTTTAAAATTATATTTTAGTGTGATATATCTTTTTCGAAATTACTTTATATTTAAAATCAGAAATTTCATAATCTCAAACATTATAACAGATTAAAAATAGCTGAGACGATAGCTTCGACTGTAATTAAAATTAATCAATCGTCATTTATGGAAAAAATATAGTATAATATTTTTGAAAATTTCCTTAGAAACACCAATATCTTCAACTCTAATCACATTTGGAACAATTACATTTTTCACAAAAAACAATTTTATGATGCTTTTATTAGTTATAAATGATCAAAATAATACGTTTGTCTATTACATTTCTAGTAGCACCTGAAACGTCAACAACATCTGAAGTGACTGAAATGTCTGTAACAGGTATTAATTAATTTTTTTCTAAAATTATTAAAGCAAACTAAATTAGTATATACAAAACGGTATCAAATCTTCTTTTGAAATAGCAGAATCGAGTACTACCGAAATGACAACCGAACCTTCTCCTGGAACTACACCCACCGAATCAACCTCTGAAATGACAAGCACCACCGAGCCTTCTTCTAGAACTACGCCCACCGAATCTACTTCTGAAATGACAAGTACCACCGAATCTACGCCTGGAACCACAGCAACCGAATCTACGCCTGGAACCACAGCCACCGAATNAAACAGGTGAAGAGCCTTCTGATACAACACAAACAGGTGACGAGCCTTCTGATACAACAGAAACAGGTGAAGAGTCTTCTAGTACAGTAACAGAAACAGGTGAAGAGCCTTCTGGTACAACAACAGAAACAGGTGAAGAGTCTTCTAGTACAATAACAGAAACAGATGAAGAGCCTTCTGGTACAACAACAGAAATACTTTCTTCAACTATACTCGAAAATCCTTCTACTCCAAGCACAGAAATATCTTCGAACTTTCCTTCTGAAAACCCTTCTACTGCGAGTACAGAGACAATTTCTTTAAACTCGCCATTTGAGACTACTTTATCTACATCCACCATAAACGTTCCCGTAAATGATCATCTATGGAATAACTCTGCGATACTTTTGTGTTATTTTCAATTCATGAATTTAATTAACGATCAATATGGCGGAGCTGCAGCTTACTACATAAGTAATGCAAGCATAAAGGTTAGTTCAAAAGTAATACAGGTATCAATTTAACTAAAAATTAAATCTACTCTTCTATTTTTTATTTTCATTTTAAGTTATAAATATAAGTAAATACATAGGTTATATGTGTTTATATGTAGATGTATTATGGATTATAATACATCTACGTATAAACATGTAGATTATAATACTATAGATATAGGTTACGTGTGCTTATGAAGAGAAATACTTAGATGATACTTGCATCCATTGTCGTACTAGCCAATGATAGCAGCTGATGCAAATATCGTCTAAGATAGCATTTTAAAATTTTCTTTAATATTCTTTTAGGTTTATGAAGAAAGACGAGATGAGTGTTACGTAGAATGCATTACTACATTTCTTTGGAAAAATGTGCAAATTATGGAAATATATAACACCACATTATTTTTGTGTGTACGTTTTACCTTTTTTGAATTGGCTATATATATAATAGGCTATATTTATGTGTATTTAAATAATTATTCAATTGAAATGAATATTTTATATACTACGATTTTTTTTCAGATGTAAAAATGATATATTTTTATTAGGATTTATAAATATTGGAGTTTTGCTTTGTATATGTGCTTTGCCCTTCCATCAAGACAACGCTTCTGCCCATAGAATTACCATTGTTCAGAAGTTTCTGCACTATAATAACTAAAGATGTTCCTCGTGCACCTTATGAACTCGACCTTGAACCTCTTTCCAATGCTGAAATACACCCTATTCATCTATGGCATGGTCGATTTTCCAATGGACAAAACATACCCTTAAAGCCATGCAATGGTTTTTAAGGATATGTTTTGTACCTCGTACAATTTGAATTAATTTAGTCTTGCATTAGTTAACTAACTTTTGGTACACTTTATATTTGATGAATTCAAAGTATTAGTTTTATTGATATAAAATAATATTTTTAACATATTATTACAATGTACTAGGGCCCAAAAGTAAGATAACACTGCAAGATTAATCGTAGTTTCTGTTAACAGAGTAAAAAAAAATCTTGGAAAAAATTTGAATAAACATAATAATAAGAAAATATAAGGGATGGCCCAAAAATTAGTTAACCATTCTCTGTTACAAAGTTTATAAAAATTGCTTAAGATAAGATCCTCCTTGTTTAGTAAACGTTTTAATTTATTGCTGCGAATGTGCATAATTCTTGGTTAACCGAGTTATGGGTCACCCCTTATTTATATATGAAATTTTTTAAAACGTATACTGTATTTTTGGTTTGTTTTCAAATAACTTTAAAGAATGTTGAGACCGCACTGTATAAATTAACAACATGATACATCCTATTTATAAGTCTGTATAATTATCGAAATAAAATATTTGTTTCTGTACATGTAACCTATACCTAACTATTGACTTTTGAATACTCCCTCTCTACATAATTTATATCGTTGTAAAACGTCAGGACGTCCGACACAACCCATTTGTTTCCTCAGGACAACTGAGGAAAAACAACCTATTTAAAACCTAATGGCGCCATCTGTTGTGATATTTTATTTAATTTTGCACCTCTACCCTCAAAAAAAAAAAGCTTAATTTTGAGGGTAAAGATGAGTTTAATATAAAAAAAAGTGTAAATACTAATAACCAGTGAAATCTTCATTATGTCCGACCCCCAACCAAGTATAACGTATAATCTCTATATCTTCCCAGCTCCCTACCTTTAACTATCAAAAATTTAATATCAACAATCCTCCTAATACACAAATCTCCCTGTAAAATTTCAGTACCTTTCGACAAAAGACACGGGAGTTATTAAGCTTCAAAGTAGGTGAACGAAAACACACACACACTGACATTCATACGTGCAGAAAAAAAGAACCCGAAAATTTTGCATTTCTGGGTGTCTCAAGGTACCCTCATTTCCAAAATTAATCTCGGGGGGGGTCATTTTCTGACCGATCGACATACTTTTCCTCTGTTATATATAACTAGCGTCTAATTACAGAACGATTCCGTAGCCGTAGTTTTGTTTTTTTACCACGAGATGTCGCTACTTCGTGACGTCAAGAAGCTGAACAAGCATAATTCTGACTGTAGTGTAAATACAATACACCACAGTCAGGTACATAATATTTTTAATTACTACTGAATGAGCTGTTAATTAATATTCATGAAAACAATTATTTTAAGATATATTAATTAAATACAGCATTTTTAAAATTTCAGAAGAGATTTTACCTTTCATATTTTTGAATTCTAGCTTCTCAATTTCACAAGCAAATCCATGTACTGTACTGGTACAGTACTTTCTCCAAATGTTCACGTAATCGAAGGAAAGTAGAAAATCCTTCAAGAACATGAAGTCTCACGACAGAATATATAGATTTTTCCTCCACCAGGATTTGCTTATTTTCTAAACATACATGCTTGTTAGTAAGATTTCCTTTTGTGGAGANCTGAAATGACAATCACCACCGAATCTACGCCTGGAACCACAGTCACTGAATCTACTTCTGAAATGACAAGCACCACCGAATCTACTTCTGAAATGACAATCACCACCGAATCTACTGAAATGACTACAGTCACCAGTGAATCAACAACTTCATCTGAAACAACCACTACAACTTCAGGTTATCCAATTCCTCCGCGAAAGATATGTTTAAAAAAGTTTTGGTTCTTGTTTTTTTGGAAACCCCATAAAGTGAAGGTTAGATAAGAATTTATTTACTTTCTTAACTGAAACATTAATTAAATTTAAATTTTCTGCAAAAGTTTAAAAATAAAAATTTAATTCTTTTGCAGGTAATTAAAAATTATAAATGCAAAGTAACGTGCGAATATGAATTTGAACACTGGCGCAAAGAATTCATATATCGAAAAAACGTAACAAAACCCTTTTGCGTAAGTTCAATTTTTACTAAAATAAAAAATTCAATTTTCAGCAGATAAAATTAAACAAACAAAAACAGAACAAAAATATGATTTTAAACATTTAATGTTTTGGTATTCATAGAATATGTATGAATGGGATTTACTAATTCATCCATACATATTGCACTGAACACAAGTTGGTTGCGGGTTCACGCAACACCAAGGTGCTGGCCATATGGGGTTTTCAATTCTATTCGTTTTTAGCAATTAAATAGGAGCAAGTTTCCGTGGAAAGTCTTCCCAAGAGTTAGATCACCCATTGTTGTCACAAAAATATATGATAAATATGACATGGAAACATGGACACCTTAAATATAAAATCGCAACATGGATAACATGAGGGAAAATGCAAATATCCATGTAGATGCACTCATTGCCACAAAAATTAGCGTAGGAATCGAACGAAATTGTACGTGTGAGAGTTTAACGGTAATATAAGTGATTACAAAATGAAAGCAAAAGGATCATTTATTGCAGGAAAAATTGCAAATAAAAGGTGGTTCTACTACCCTGTCGGGCCACCTCTAGCGTGAATACACGATGTGATACGGGCATGGAGGCATACAGGTGTTGTATGGTGTCCTGCTGCATCTCGGTCCACAGTTGCTGCAAACTGTTTTCTAGTTCGACCGAATTCCTTGGCTGTCCTAGGTGATCCCAGACATGTTCGATTGGTGACAAATCAGGAGCAGGTCAATGAAGTGTGGCAATATGGTGGAGGCTGTACTGACACCCTTGTTGTGTGGGGTCCAGCATTGTCTTGTTGGAAAATGACTCTCGGTAACCCTCCTACCAGTGAGCCAAATACATGAAGAATTATTATATTTAGTAAGTCATTGTTATCATGTTTAATAAAAATAATAATAAAACAAATTTGTAAAGATATTTTCGGACAAGTTATATCAAAACTCATGGACCACTTTGAAGATGTTAAGGTTTCTCCAGTTCAGTCTGCTATTAAGTGCATCATTCTTTCTGAGGGATCCGGGTTAGAATCTAAGTGAGCAATGCAATGGGGAGAAGGATGAGGACATACATACCCAGGATGGCTCATATATGTTATTGAATCCACGATAATTAAAGTGCCGTCCATGTCAAAAAGCAGAGTCAAAAATGAAAAATGTATTTGAGATATGTTCCAATACTTCTACTACTTAATCCTGCATGCTCCTTATCCATATGCCTTTTAAAATGTTAAATTTGTTAAGGTCAATTACACCCAAGAAAACAGTTGCTTATAATTCTTCCTTATCCCCTCTAGCAATATACAAATAAAACTTGATTTTTACCACCTGAAATCTTTAGGAAGATCATAGAATATTAGTTTTCAATTTATATTAATTTAATAGCTAATTTAAATATTTTTGATTATATCTGCATAAACTTTAAACACTAATTATTTTTTTTATTCTCCAGGACTTAATCCACCATTGGTTCAATTTTGATGATCATCATTGGTTCCATTGACAACTTAAACAAAGTACAAGTAATACAATTTCTTAATTACATATTCTTGCTACCTTTTGTCACAATGGATTTTTTAATGTTTTTGTATCTTAATCATCTCTTTTACAGTGAAGGACTGTTCTTAAATTTATGTACAGTATTTTCATGGTACACAAAGTTGATCGACATAGTTTTAGGAAACTCTTATGTTGTAAAGTAAAAACTAGTAATAGAAAATAATGTAATTGATGTTTTTCAACTTTCATTATGCAAGCCTCTTATTTCTACATGCATTAGTAAAGTTTTATTTCCATACGCTTGTAGTCTTTCAAATAATAGTCATTTCATTGACGTACTCGAATAAAAAATTATTTTAAAAAATGGTAGCTCAATACATTTTATCTTGCTTGCAAGAGATCTGTGTATAAAACATTGCATAATAATGATGATTTTCACACTTTGACTCTCAGAATTGTTCATCCATACAAAGATCACAGTAAATTAAAATAATAAATTCATAAAAATATCATAAATTACAAGTTTAAAATAATTTTATTAACATATTTTAATAATTATTTTAATTTTTTACTGAAGATTAGTTTTTTTGAGTAGAACTGATATATGTGAGGTATGATGGATTTATTAAATTTCTTCTGTATATCTGCCTATTTTTCTATATTATAGAATTAACTTTCTTTGCAATTAGTACATTATGCTTGGATATAGACCCATGTTAAAGGTATGATAGCAAATATACATCACTATTTAACCATTCATATAGGGCAACTCATACACTAGACAGGTCAAGTGTGGAAGTGTTGCATGGCTCAAAAATTGTTGTGAGAAGAGATTCCCATATAAACACGAGTTTCTGTTCCTGCAGCGTCTGAGCAGCATTGTTTGAGCCTATAACGGATTGTAGTTCTGTTCAAACAGATAAGTTCTGTTTTTGTGACCTCTGTGATACACTTTCCTTTCACTAAATCATCCTTGTGCTCAGCTAGATGAATAGCAAGCATGCATACTGCCAAACTGATGGTGTATCAGTTTGGCAGTATACACAGCTGATTTTTCACCTGCTAAGTTCAAACATGTGCATAACATGGCTATAAAATGATTTATTTTCTTAAATATGAATTTAAAAATATCTTTCTCATTGCTTAATTTATCTGTATGAAATAATGTTAAAAAAGTTTACTAAATTAAAACATATAAAGTGTTTCTTTCACTAACTCTCACTGGTGGAATAGTAACTGTCTACTGTAACTGGATAATCATTAACTTCAACTGATAGTAAGGATAATGTATTCTCTCATTTAATACTAGAGAGGAAAAACTGCTTGAGGAATAATAAAAATGCATCATAAAGTTCATAGAAATACAAATACAGTATAAGTACATTGGTGCTGCTCTTAGGCTTTTCTCAGGTACCAAAATTATTTAGAACAATCATGCTTACTACTGCATTAAAGTTGACAAGTTGATTTATTATTCTTATATTTTGGAATGATTGATTCTTCTCTGCATATAATTTTGCTTACAATTGAGATATTATAACAGAAAATGTTCTAATTACTTTCCTGTATCTCAAAATTAATTACCATAATCATTTTTACTGTAATTAATTAATTAACGATTTGTGTCACAAAACAAACTATAAATTCAAATTTTACTACAACTACCAATTTTTTCATTACCGTAATAAATAATTGTATTAAGTTTACTAGATTTAGATGTTTAAAAGTATAAAATATCAAGTTAATTATACTTTAGTGCACAGTTTTTACAGTGTTTATTGTTAACTTTAATATTAAACATCCAAAATTTAATGAATCACATACTTGCATAGATTCAGAATTGACAACCTTGAGAAATTTAGGTTAACGACCCAAATCTGAACCTGTTTTCCCTTGAAAACAGCACGTCAACACCTTTATTTTCAGCATCATCTGCCTATCTGAAAGCCAATGTTATCATTTTAATACAAACTAAGCTTCTTCAGTTAACACTTCGGAACATGAAAAATGTGCTTCAATAGAAAACAGTTTAAATTTCAAACTTTTCAACATGTTCTATAGATACAGAGCATCTGATAGAAATTTATAGCGACGTGCAGATATATCTATAATTAGGCTATAAAGATTATTATTATATGTTATATATAAGCATATATTTTTGTTATATACTTTAGAAATATTCATATATATTCTAAATTTTTGTTTAGTTACATGTAACAGTAATCAAAAAGTAAAAGTGTATTAAATATATATATATATATATATTGAAAAATACTTGTAACTGTAATTGCAATGTATATCTTGTGTATCTTTTTAATGGTTAATAAACTGAAATATATCACACTTATTCTAGTATATAAACTGGAAAAATTTTTTTTATTAAATCTTATTACTAAAATGTTTTAAATTATAAGAAAAATCTGGAGAATTATCTCACAAAAAAACCATTTAAATTCCAGTTTAAACTTAAATAAATACTGATAATTTAAATAACAGATTTTAATTTATAATCTAATTTTTAAAAATCAATAGCTTTTCTTACGCTGTAAAAAAATCACGAAGTAGATCATTTTTCAAAAGAAACAATACTTTACAAATTTTGCATAAAATCTTCATAGAAATATCAAATTTTCTCTTTCTTTGGTGTGAATCTTTACATGACTTCGCAATGCAGACTTGTCGGAAAACCTTCGAAAACAAAGTTCGCAATTAAATGGCTTTTCACCGGTATGAATTCGGAGATGAGTGATCAGATTTCCTTTCTGCGTGAAGCTGCGTTGGCACTGATCACAGGAGAATGGCTTCTCTCCCGAGTGAACCCTAATATGAGTCTGCAAATTGCCCATTTGATTAAACCTCCTATCGCAAATATGGCAAACGAAAGGCTTTTCTCCCGTGTGTATCCTCCGATGAATTATCAAATTTCTTTTAGCAGTAAATTCTTTGCTGCAACTTCTACAATGATAAATTCCTTTCTTCCTTTTAAATTTGACACCACCTAAAATGTAATATTTTTGGATTACTGTTTGGACTTTGTGTATAATTTCTAATCTATTATAAATAATCTATTTTAATTTGAATACTATTTAATAATATTTTACAGAATATTTTTTTTGTAATGCAATAAATCAATTATATATATATATATTTGTTATGTTTGCAAGACTACATATTTTCTTAATTCCTCCTAGTTAAAAATTATATATTTTCTGTCTTCCATATCCAAACAGATATTCTTAATCCAGGAAATTCCTGAAATGATGGAAATTTTTGCTAGTTTTTTTTTATTCTTACAATGTGTTTACATAGCAAAATATCCATCTTCTTCTGGAGATCTGTAAAAAATACATAAATATGAGAAACAGATCTATTTTATATGTATTTGCTAAATGGATTCCTTACTTAAATATCTAAATACTGGCATAAAGTTATAATTAATTTATAATATAAAAGCTTCGGATAATGAAATAAATTCAATCCGAACGTACACCAAAATATAACTTTAAGCATCTTAATTAAATTTAAATGGCGCAAACATGCAAACATCATAGAGAGATAAACAATTCAAGTAAAAGCAAAATATTTGAAGAAACGTGAATGAACACATCAACTGCTGCATCAATAAATCTCTTAAACTAACAAATTCATATTAAAGGTGTATCTAAACTTATAAATAATAATAGAAAGAAATGCAGAGACAATCTAAGTTTTCTATCGCTACTTTATTAGTAATTAATTTAAAGGGAATCAATAGTTGATGATTCCATACCTGATTTATTTTTTAAAGTTAGTATTATCTGATCGTGTGTTTATATACACAAACGGACGACTAATTAAAATATCTTCCGACGCCGCATCAATGATTCGAGAAGAGGTTGATGTGACATTGACTGCAGAAAGGATAGGCGAGAAAATTATATATTGTTAATATTTGTTTTTATATTCAGTAGAATTTGTGCGCAAAAGCAGAAAAAAATTTGTTGAATATATTCATTTCTGAAGTTAAGAAATATTTTTTTATACAATAATTATCAAAAATAAGACCACCACATGATAAAAATTTATATTTGTATGAAATTTAAAGATTGATAATCAAACTAAAATTTGAATTGGAAGAGTTGACAATGAAACACAGAGAAAAATGAATTATAAGAAATCATCTTTATATCATGAAAGTAAATTACATTTTATAAAATTAATACAACTTTATTACATGAAACTTATATCTGGATTCTATAAGTAATAAGTTAGATTTCAAAAGTATTTATTTCATGAAACAGCTTCCAGAGATAAAAAAAATACTAAGGCAAATCTTAACGTAGTTCAGGTTACCTGTATTGTAATCTTACTTATGTTTTTATAGCTTGTCGACATTTCAAGTATGTTAATTCCTAACTTCTTCTTTCTTGGGATCTTCTGACTTGATATTTGATAGCACTAAATGAATAAGTAGAACATGAATTAACAAATCTTCAAAATTAATTTCTGGATTAAAAATATTCTTTGTTAATATAAATAATAACAATATCATTTAGCTTAATTAATAAAAAAATGTACAGGGGAATCATTTGGACAGGGATAATTTGAAAGCTGTGTCAAAATAAACACATCAGTTATAGAAAGTTCAAATTCTGTTATAATGAAGAGGTAAGGAGTGGGTTTTGTTGGGTAGTTTCATCACATGTCAAACTGAAAATGGTACTGACCACAGAGTAATGCACTAAGCATATCCTTTGCCATGCAAAGTTTCAGACTGATGGCTGTTTAACACAAATTTTATCACTGAATTCCTGAATTTTATCACTGAATTCCTGAAAAAGAAACCTGTGTTTCCACTAATTGATAAGTATGTAAGGAACCAAGTCTGAGCATTATTTTTATTTACTTTTATTTTTGCTTTTTATTATATTTTTGTTTGGGGCTTATGTTTTGTTAGGATGAAGGTTTCCTCACCATTCACCTTAGAAACTTAAAAATAGAAGAGAAACCAACTCACCAACGAGAGAAAAGTGCCATAGAAAAACCTCGCGCACACTTATGCTCCCGAGTGGAAAAAAGTAAGTCCGCACCGAGAAAAGGGGGGGAGACCCCACAAGCACAACTTAGGGACTCGCTAAACCTTAAAGAATAAAAACAGCCTGAAAATTGTCAAAAAGAATAATGTAAAAGGTTAGCGAGTATTGTCGGAAAATAGGCTGCCAGACAAATAGAAAAAGTTTATTGTTAGCAAGTAAGTATGTAAATGAGAGGAGTGATCACATTCAGAATTGTGACGTCACCTCACAGTATAAAGTCCGAACGTCAAGTGAAGATGGACGAGGTAAGCTTCTGTTAGCAACGAGCGTGGTGAGCTTAGTAGCAACAAACGAGAGAGAGGTGTCCAATAGGATAAAATAGTTCCAAGGCAATTTTAAAGTTATTCGATTTGTGGATCAAAGATTAGAGAAAGTCTTGAGAGTTGAGGAAAAAGGTTCCTAGTATATTGGGGTGACGATTAGGATCTTTAATTCATAAGAATTATTGTATATAAATTAAGTCTTTGAAATTTTGTCGAATTCCAAAGGGGAATAGAATTAAGTTAGAAAATAGATTGATTTGAGTTTTGTCGGGTTGATTCTTATTGATTTTCATTGAATAGTAATTGTTATATAACACCTACCGCTGAAAATGATGAGAATTGCCGGGAATCAAACGAACTATTTTAGATTTGATCAATTTTCTGGAACGTTTACAATCGTTCTATAATCGAACCAATATGCAATAACAAATTCAAATTTAAAATGGTTCAAACATTTGGATGAAAAATCGAAATATATAAAAATATTTATAACAATGTCTGAAATGTTATTAATTTAATACACCTAAGTACTCGATGAACACTTAATCCTCTCCCTCTCCCGCCCGCAGGGGAATTTCGAAAAATCCCTTCTTAGTGTGCATGGCCATGGCATACCCTACTAAAACGCAGATAAAAACAAAAAATCACATCTAAAATAGTACAGTAGAAGCCGTTTTTCCGGTTAAGCCTTAATGCTCTACCTCTCCCCCACGGGAGAATTTCAAAAAATCCCTTCTTAGTGTGCGTTTCCATGACGTACCCTAACTGTCTACCAAATTTCACCTCTTAAGGTTAAGCTCTGTGCGATGATGAATCAGTGAGTCATTCAGTCAGTCAGAACAAGCAATTTTATATATTTAGATGAATAAAAAGAAGAAAATCTTATCACATTTATTGTATTATAAAATTGAACACATTCATTGCCTTAAAGCTGTTTATGCAGCAACACTACACATGCAGACCCCTCTTACAAGCATTGTAAAAGTTTGTTGTTTCTCACTGAAAAAGTTTTAGTATTTGTTTTTAAGAAAAAAGTTACTTTTATTGTTTATTGCACACTTTTCTGTATATATTACATTTTATATAATTTCTTTGACAGTCTGAACATATAATAAGTAAACAAAACATAAAATTTTTCAGCACGTTGCTCTGTATGGGTGCAGCAAACATGTTAAACATAAAATTTAAACTTATTTAGCACTTTATTAAAACAAAGTAAAGTATTATAAAGTAACTTTAGCATTCTAGGACAAATGAGAGTTAACATTCTTTTAAGAAGACGTCAATATGTTATATATGTGATTAGAAAAATTAACTGTATGGTTAGAAATGAGCTCCTATTTAGGTGTTACAAACACAAATAAAACAGAAAACTATGTAGTGTGGCCAGCCCATTGATCAGGCACAAATCCATAACCAAATACAGTGGAACCTCGGTATACGACCTTAATCCGTTCCCGGTGTTTGGACTTATACCGAATAGGACATATACCAAACCAACCTTTTGCATAAGAAGTAATGTAAAAATGATTAATCCGTTCTCATGTAAAAAAAAATGGCTGGCTTTAAACATCTCGCTTTCCTCGCTAATTTCTGCTTGATTTTTCATGGGATCAGTATGTATCCTTTTAACTTTCTCGCAAATAATTTCTTCCGATACACTGTTGCCAGCACACTGTTTTTCAGTTATCCAAAGCAAAAGCAATTTCTCGACATGATCTAATGTCTTCAATCTCTGTTTAGAAATTGATTTAACCCCTTTCGCAACGTTAGCAAATTTAATAATGTCTTTATTTTTCACGATTGTCAATATCATTCTCGGAATACGGAATGCAACAGTTAAATCTCGAACACGTATGCCACCTTCATATTTCTCAACAATCTCTTTTTTCAGTTCTGTTGTGATTCTAGTCACTTTTTTTTTCATTTGCCCTTTTGCAATTCATGATTAATAAAAATAATAAAATGTTACTTACAAATTAAAATCAGAAGAAATTTAACAAAGTTATAAACCGTAGCACCGTGAACGTCTAGTCTGGTGTAGTACACCGATAGTGCTACTTGTTCACAGATGGCGCGTATAATTGAATTAAGTCGTATACCGAGCAAAATTTGTTTCGTCCAAACAGGACGTATTCCGAATTAGACGTATTCTAAAGCAGACGTATACCGAGGTTCCACTGTACCAAGTTCAGTGGTTCATCCACTCATACCATCCCTGGTAGGCACAAAAACAGAATAGACAAATTCCAATTACCTCTAAATTAAAATACAAAAAAATGATGCACTTTCTGAATTATCTGTATATCTAACTGTAAAAATGTAAGAAAATAAATTTTAGAATACCCATGAGATGTCAAATAATAAAATTTAATAGAATTATTTAGTTGAATTCAGATTTCTGTTTTATTCTAATACATAATGTCTGAAGATAATTTACTTCATTAGTTTAATTTGTAACATGCTTAGTATTATTATTTTCAGAAACTATAATATAAATAAAATACATATTACTCACAAGTCTGACCATCTCACTATTTAATAACATCTTTACTGCAGGTCCAGATCACACTACAATAAAAATATATTATATTACTGAATATAATGCACAAACTAGATATTTATTTTATACGTCATCCATTGTTTTGCAGACAGAATATATTATAATTTTTAAGACAATTTACTGTCTGGAAGTTGAATATTTAATACATGCAAAACTACATTAAATACAATTAAATTAATCGTAACTTTTGTATCATAACTTTGACATGTAATTTCAAAATACAGGGGTGACTTGTACTTCAAATTTAATTTGTTTCAAAAGGCCATTAAGTCTGAATTATTTGAATTCCAAAGAGTATATATATTATAATACATTAATACAGTGGTTCTCAACTTTACTGAAGTCGGGGGCCACCATTCATATACTTATTATATAAAGCATTAGCCTTGATACATTCAAAAATCAATAGGCAATTCCATGTTTACTATCCTCATGACAAAATAAAGAGGTAAACTAATAAACTTTAGTGTATTGAATAAATATAACAAATGTGAAATTGTCTACAACTAAAGTAATATGTTGTAGTATATTGAAATTAATTTGTAATAAAAACTTAAAAAAAAAATTTTTTCTTGTGGAACGTGTGTTGAGAACCATTTCTCTAAAACAATCAAACTATTTTATCCTTTCTTTATCAGACATTTGCACTTTTGTGTCAAATCTTTGCTAAAAATTGCTTATATTTAAATCTTTATTCTAGAATTTTGAGTGTACTTTGCTTCAGCATATAGATGCAACACAAAAATAAATTTCCTGTAAAAACTGTGAACAAAATTTAGGTTCTCTTTGTTGTTATTTGTCAGAAAAAGTGATGTACTAAATTCACAGTTTGTCTATATTTCTAAACCAGTGTAATAGATCTAGTCTTAGAAAAGCTCTCATTATGCGCGCGCACACACAAAAGTATTGCCTATTTCGACAATTACTTGTTTGAATTTAAAAAAACAATTTTCATTCCTCTCCAATAAATCCAACAATTCGTATTAAATTACTTAATAAAAATATAAATATCTCAAAGCCTGTTAGTTATATTAAATCCAAATGATTTCAGCATTAAACTAATTTAATCTGGCAATTGTTTGGCTTTAATGACTTAATACACTATTAAAATAAAATATTCTCATGTATACTTTTTAATTTCTTTAATATTTTTGTCATTCATATTTCGAAACCGTGTTGTAACTTTATATTAGTTTTTCAAAACCGCAATGCAGCGTAATAATCAACACTTGGCCAAATGTTGATTATTACGCTGCATTGCGATTTTGAAAAACTAATATTTTTGTATTAATTTGTTTCTTTTTATATAAAATGCAATAACATAAAATTATGAAACTTCATAATTACAGGAAAAGATTACGAGTAATTTACTCTTTTTCTATGATTATGAAATTTTACAATTTTACAACTCTAAAGAGTTTAAAGTTACATTATAACACTTGATATTTTCCAGTATTAGATATTAGATTTTAATGTTACAGTAAACTTAAGTCCTAGATTTATTAAACTAAGTCCTAAATTATTAAATTAATCAAATGATAATACCATGTTCATAGAGCCAAACATAGATAATTCAATTTTCATATACAATAGTGGAAAATTTAAGAAATTTCACAAACACCATTACATTTTTATTTACCAAATCTTAAATATATAATTTCGTACTTACACATTAAAACAGGAAGACTTTCAATTGCTTGCGTTTCCGATATTTAGCAATAATTATTGCTAAACAGAATTCTAGACAACAACACCGTCATTTCTAGAAAAGAGTAATAATACTGTAATAATAATTGTATAATAATTCCATTAATAAATGAAGATTTTTAAGAAGAAAAAAAAAAACTATCTTTCATATTGTCATATTCAAATTTGTATTAAAAATAATGTATATACTTAGAAACTTTCATTATCAATAAGCAAGCAGGATGCAATTTAAAAATATGTGTAAATTTAGTAAAATGAAATTCATTTTACATAAATTTCCTTATTAAATAAGAGGAAGTGAATCAATAAACATCAGGAAAGTAAAAGGAGAGAATAATAAATAATCATGTAAAGAATTTATGATAAATGCAGCATAAATTGGAAGTTGTTTTTGTACGTTGAGAAAATGTGTTGCGCCCAAATATTTGAATCGGATTGTTCAAAAATCATGCTCTTCTTCTGTACATCATTCAGATCTTATCCACCAATCAATGGATGACAATAAGTAAAATTAAATGAAAGTCAATTGCAATAGATGAAATTTAACATTTATGCATAAAAATCTTTTCAATTGCTTCTCTAATATTAAAATATAATGGTAACATCTTTAAATTTACATTATACTAGTCGATGAAAATGAATAGAATGATGATGATAATGTTACTTACAAACAAAACACAAGTTCATTTTATTTTGATTAAATGTATACATATTAATATCAATTATTATATTCATTGTATGAGTATTTTGGAATGCAAATTAGTTTTTAATCCAGTCTTGTTTTTGCTTAGAGACAGCGCAGAAAACAAAAAATTGGAAGACGAAAATCATCCAATATCTTTTTATCCAGTGAACGTTATATCAAATTGCATTTGGGTGTGCAATTAAAAAGAATATTTCCTTAAAATAAGTCTGAATTTTATTGTTTTAATACAGCAATGGAGATCAAAATAATTAAAAATGAATGTATAATCTTGTTAAACATTAAAACAGGATTCCACCATACCACAAGCAGATTACAATTGCAAATCTGCAGACTAAGCATCTTTATACTTGGAATAGAAGAAAATGTGTAAAATTATATCAAAATTCATACAATTTAAAAAAGTTCTAATGCAGAATGGCTTCAAAAGCATTACTTAGTAACATACCTTCTAGTTTGCTGACATTATAGATTTTCAATCTGTCTTCAAACTGTTCTCCTCCACTTGTTTCTAAATTAATCAAATTAATGAATAATTATTATTTTAATCATTAAAAGAGAGATGATAACATGCTTATCTTTACCATCAAATTCAATTATTATTAATAAACTTATTAATCAAATCAAAAATACATATAATCTGATCATTTCAATATTTATTTATTTGAACTGATTTAGTCATATCAAGATATATATATAGAATATCAAGCAGTAAATATAGAAGATATAAGCTATTAAACCAAGAGAAACATACTAAACTGATGAAAATTACATAGATGAAAAGCTGTACTGTACAACTAAGCTTTTTTTGCCAAAGAGAAGTTATGACAAGGCTTTAAAATTAAAAGAAAAAAGCTCTATATTTAGTTAAATATTGATTTAAAATTTGATAATCATTAAACATACTTTATGATTTATGTATTAAGAAAATGTACAATTAATATTAGTTCAATGAAGAAATATATATATAAGCAAATAGAAACCAAAAATTTCTTCTGAAGAGATAAGTGAGTTTTATGGAAGGAAAATCTTTATTTAAAATATCAAATAAACTAAACATAAGTTTATTTTCTACTTACGTATGGTTAATATTTTAATATGTTTATTTGTAATGTATGTATAATGTATGAACATTTTAACTGTAAGCTCTAAAAATTTCTTCTATGTATCTGGACACAAAATTGTTTTTACCCCTCAGGCTACAAGAAAAAATTTTATAGCAAAATCAATCAAACAAATTAAGGCAATTTTGGTCACTCTCATGTTCAACGAGTTAATACATATAGCTAAAATTATAATGAAATTTAAATTTTGATAAAGTAATAGGTGAGTCTNCACAAAATTGTTTTTACCCCTCAGGCTACAAGAAAAAATTTTATAGCAAAATCAATCAAACAAATTAAGGCAATTTTGGTCACTCTCATGTTCAACGAGTTAATACATATGGCTAAAATTATAATGAAATTTAAATTTTGATAAAGTAATAGGTGAGTCTAATATTAAAGGTACAGGCCAAAATTACACTAACATTTATAATTAAAGAAAATATTTAATACATTTCACAAAAACTACACAAAAACTGCATACTTTTGTTTATTTCTCGACATAATTGCCGTAAACGTTGAGACATTTATCCCAGCATAACCGTAGTTTGAACATTCCTTCACGGTACTGATTCTTGTCAAGTTGCTTGAAGTAGTCCAGAATGATGTCCTGATCCACAAAGCAAAAGGTCCCTGCCAAAAATTTTTTTAAAGGTCTGAATAAATGAAAATCCGAGGGGACTAAATCTGGACTATACACCACATGTCAAATCAAATCAAACTGTAGTTGGCACAGTGGAAATGGGAGGTCCTGCAAACATCCTCTGTATAATCCAAATTTAGCCCCATCAGATTTTCATTTCTTCAGACCTTTAAAGAAATTTTTGGCAGAGAAACGCTTTGTGGATCAGGAGAAATTGGAAGACACTGTCTGGACTACTTCAAATAATTTGACAAGCAACGTGAAGGGATGTTCAAACTAGTGTCACGCTTGGATAAATGTCTCAACGTTTATGGTAATTATGTTGAGAAATAAACAAAAATATGCAGTTTTTGTGAAATGTATTAAATATTTTCTTTAATTATGAGGGCTATTTTTTAAATAAGGTCCGTTTTTTAATACGAAGAAAAATACTGTAAATATCATTAAAATATATTTTTTCCCATATTCTAGATACTTTTATCTACTTTTCTACATANTCTTATAGTAACAAGATGAATGCAATTGTTTTAAATTTCATATCATTTGACATAGTTGTAACATGGTTTGAAAACGTTCATTCGAATGCGCGTCTATTAAATATTTTCTTTAATTATGAGGGCTATTTTTTAAATAAGGTCCGTTTTTTAATACGAAGAAAAATACTGTAAATATCATTAAAATATATTTTTTCCCATATTCTAGATACTTTTATCTACTTTTCTACATAATTTCCATTTTTGTTCAAGCATTTGTCATACCACTCAAAAATTTTTTAAATTCCAACTTCAAAGAAATCTGCCGCTTGCCGCCGGAAGACATTAGGCTGTGCCGCTTGTCTTGTATGGCACGGCAGAGTCTTCTGAAGGTCACAATAAGCATCAGAATTGATTGTTGTACCTCTTGGCATAAAATCCACTAACAAAGTCCCTTCCTTGTTCCTGTACCATGATCTTTCGTGCTGAAATCGAATAACAGATCGTATCTTACAGTTGGCAGGCAACTCAATTTTCTTAAACATTATAAACTTCTACAGTTCAGCACACAGACAAACAATATGGCTGCAAATGGCATCTAAACACATGCAAAGCATGCTGAAAGCAGATGCTCATGCAGACTGCTGCAACCATGTTAACATGCTTATCTTTACCATCAAATTCAATTATTATTAATAAACTTATTAATCAAATCAAAAATACATATAATCTGATCATTTCAATATTTATTTATTTGAACTGATTTAGTCATATCAAGATATATATATAGAATATCAAGCAGTAAATATAGAAGATNGGCTGCAAATGGCATCTAAACACATGCAAAGCATGCTGAAAGCAGATGCTCATGCAGACTGCTGCAACCATGTGTCATTCTCACTCTCATTCACAAACGGACCTCATTTAAAAAATAGCCCTCGTATAAATGTTAGTGAAATTTTGGCCTTTAATAATAGACTCCCTTTTTAATATAAATTAAGTGTATACTTAGAGTGAATGTAACTTCTTCAATAAAGAATTACACTATAAAAGTGTACGACAAATACAGGAATTTATTTTAACTATATTTTGTTGAATTGCTCATGGAGAATTGCAGATTCACATATTTTTGTGAACAGTAAATAAGTAACTTAGAGCCTTTGTTCCATTTCGGCAAAGCTTTTCCGTCTGTTCTTAAGCTTGTTAGTAGTTTTCTTTCAGTGTTTGGTAGCACAATTTGAACACAAGTTGGAAAAGCCTCGTACCTGAGAGAAATACACTTGTAAATTTTATTCTACCTTTAACAGCAAAATGCATTTCAAGTTTTATCACTGATCATGTCATAATCTATTAATAACTAAAATTGTCTTTCATGATCTGCAATTGGATGCATAAAGGAAAAATTTTTTAAATTTTAATTTAAACAATTGCATTAGTTTCACATTATATACAAATAATTCTAATATTCAGATGTTTGAAATGTTCATTAAAATTTAATTTGATGTTTAAGCTGTTCTGTTCCATACACATTCGAATTCCTCATAAACATAGCCTGATGAAGACCCGGATGGGGTCGAAAACGTTCGCTGATGTATGAAGCAAGTATCAGGGTCTTCATCAGGCTATAAACATAGCCTGATGAAGACCCGGATGGGGTCGAAAACGTTCGCTGATGTATGAAGCAAGTATCACTGGAGTTACGAAGGTTTTTGTGTGAAAGTATATTTTCCTCTGGTGTGTAAGAATAGTTTATTTTCTTATTTAAGCTGAAAAAACCTTTAATCAAAAATAAGAAATTAAATTATTATACATTTTCTTCATGTAATTCAATATTTAAATTCAAGCAATGGCAATTGTCCAAAAGATTGTTCAAACCACAAGATAACATAGAATTCACTATGCTCATAAAGTTCTTAGAAATAGCAAAATAGAGCTTTATAAGAGCAATAGCTAAATAATTGGTAGGCATTCAAGTTTTTGGCATCTTGAGGGAGACAAGTTTACCCTGATAAGCACTAGGTTTTAATTCAGTGTAGTTTAGGATGATTAGAGCACTATAGGACACACCAGTGTTCCAATCTGAATGTGACTTATGTGTTTTAAATCATAGCCAAAAGATATAATTTTGTCATTTGTTTACTGACTGGCTGATTAAAAATATTAACAAAAAAATGTGCACTGTATAAACTGCCTGAAAATGTTCACACATTTTGAAATATTATCTACAATAAAAATGTACAGAAATCAAAACTGTTTGAGGTAAAGATATACCATAAAACTCTGATTAGCTGAGGTAATGTGAACCGATGCTAACTTTGATAAATGAAAACTGAAATGAAACAGATGCATTTTTTAAACCTCTTTATTCTTTAGTGATTTTAATCATATACAGTATAAGAATATTTTTTACATCATTTTCTACACAACTTGGAATCAAATGATAAAAGGTAGTAGAAACAAATTAGTTTTTTCTCTTTAGTTCATTAAACTATAAACTAATCAGATAACTCAAGCTTGAAATATTTTATTAACTTCATCTTATTGTTTCTTACAAAAATACTGTAATAATTATAAATTAAATAACACCTGTTTTTTACAATAACTAAGGAAGAATTGGGAACATCCAATATGCATGCTGCTATTAACACCTAAATAGGGGGCAAGTTTTCCAAAGAAAGTGCAATCTTCTGGGTGACATTTCCATTCAGCAGATCACCCAAGTCACATTGCCATATCCAAACAAATTACATAATATAGTTATTACATAGACAGAAAAAAATTTTATTCAATATATATATTAAGAAATTAAAAAGATCAAAGCATTTAAAAGAATATACCATATGTAGTTTGATTATATCTTATAGTAACAAGATGAATGCAATTGTTTTAAATTTCATATCATTTGACATAGTTGTAACATGGTTTGAAAACGTTCATTCGAATGCGCGTCTACAATGTAATAACAAATATTAATTTAATTAGCACGAATAGCTTTCGGGGTATATCCAGGGGCATTAAGGTGAAGCACTACCCCTATACCAAACCAATCAGTTTTGTTACTTTATAATAAAAATAAATACAACACATATTGCACAAATTCAGTTAGACAAGACTGGGTAACTGAAGTAATTTTAAAATATTCAAGTAACATGCTTTGAGGCAGAGAGCACCCGAAGTCCATCCAAATCCACATCAAACATCACTCGTACTCTCAAAATCCCGGATACTCCACCAAATAGCTCAAAGGACGTGCAGAGAATAATCAAGAAATAAATACAACCCGAGAATTGTAATTCAGTCAGTTCTACTGGTATCTGGCAACGCAACACACGCCCGGGAGATCTTTTATGGGAAACTGGTCCCTATTTAAGTGTTACAAATGTGACGAAAATCTAGAAAATTCCACCGGCAAGGCACAAACTCACGACCAATTATCAGTGGTCTTATCCAATTGTCACTGGTGGGACTAGAGTTATAATTCGGTCGTAAAGCTAATTAGTCCGATGTTATTTTAAAGATCCATGTGCAAAGAACAGCATCAATACTTCATACATATAACATTAAATCATGCTTTATAACGATTTTTTCTGATAATTTTAATAATATCAATCACAATACTGATTTTTTCTTACCTATGCCGAGGGGAATAAAAAATACAGCCACACAATTTTAAGCTAAAATATCTTCGAAATATTTAAAATATTTGCTAAAATCAAATTAAGCTTATCTTATTTAAATAAAAAAAAAACCATAAAGTAGAAGTAAACAAATTACACGTGTTGAAATTGACTAATTTCTTTAACAGTGGAAGGAAACTGATTAATTTTTTTATTAACAGTGGAAGGAAATTGACTAATTTTTTAACATGTTTTTTTTTACACAGAAAAATCAATATTTAGTAAACGTCTGTGAAATTATATAAATTTTAAGCTTAAATTATAACTTAATTACTTAAAATTGGAGTATTCTTGCACCAGATACTCAAACAAACGTTAAAATAAGCTTGGTCTCGGCATATTACGACGATAATGCAATTTTTTTTTACACACAGTTTACNATTTATTAGAGTTAATGGGTTACACTTGGCGGTTCACAAATAATCAATACATAAAGCGTTAGTGCAAGGTTAAAATTTCTCATGAATGTCAGAAATTCAAGACATTTTAAGAATTAAAATTTAATTTGTTTTATATCTTGAATGGTTATAATTTGAATTTTTCTTAGGATTTTCGAAGATTAATGCATTCTTCTCCTCCCAAGAATACCAATCTTTCTTGAAAGAATCCCAACCGAGAGTGGCACTAAGATTACTTCTCACTTCATCTCTATATTTTTCCAACTTTCCTATAACTCTTCTAACTTCTCTGCTTTGAACGCTTCCATTTTGAAACTTAGAGCAAGTATCTACCATGCCTAAAATCTCATTAGCTAGAAAGAAAGCACCACCGATTCTACATTATAATGAAATTTCTAAATAATTTTTTTAAATTTATTAATATTAATGTTTGTATAAATTTATAGCGCGCGTATATATTGATTAAAAAGAGCGTCTAGTTAGTAAGCCGTAGTGAAAGTCCAGTATAACACGGTTTCGCTCTTATAAAGTTAAAGAATTGCTAACATAACACGAAATTTATGGAGTTTTGTACAAGGAAAATCTGCTCTAAGATTGGATATACTTTTTCATTGAAAAATCTCTGTGTTTTATTTTCATATGTTTTTTTGTTCAAATCTACAATGGAGCGGCCGGGTGGTGAGGAACGGACCTCGACATATTCGATCCAGACGATCCCCGAAAAATCCTTCCTCGCCCTGATTCGATTCCGCAGAGTGGTTCTTTAGTTCCCCAGAGCGGTAGCAATCAGAAAGACTAGAATTCGCAGCATGAGTTAATGATCTCAATTAAGATCGGGTATTTGTTAATATTCCATCTGTAGATGTGATTATAGTCTTTATACGTGTGTACAATTCCCACACGCATAAAGACTATAATCACATCTGTACTGTACGTTAACTGTATTTGAACATTTTTGACCTCTCATTTTGCCACCCACCACTTTGCATCTTGAAGCAGTCGCCTGATCGTCCAGGCATCGAGTCGATTCTCGAGAATATATCTGCATAAATATCCTCTCAATATATTGTCAGATAATTATCTCTGTCCGGTCGATTGTGTTTGTAATAGAATCCCAGTGTATGAACAATTACATGTATGATTGTCCATATGAAATGACAACCTCTTCCGAGTGATAATGGCTGAGATTTTCCAATACATCCAATTTAAGAATAACAGCTAAGTTTATAGAAACAAAATTGTAATTCGAATGAAATTTTAAATTTCATACCATTTAAAATATAAATATTCTTGGATAAGAAAGAAAAGTTAAGAAACGTACTCAAAGAATTGTCGATGACATAAGGCACTCTTCCGTTTGGCCAGGTGTAAGTACGATTTGGTATTGCAATTCTTGTCTAAAGGTGGTGGTTGTATTAGTGTTTTCGTTAATTTATTGATAGAAATTGCATAATTAATAAACTACTAACATTAATATCTTTAAGTCTTGCGATGTCTTCTTCGATTAAATCAAGAGTAGGCAGTCTCTACACGATAATCGGTTGAAACTATTAAATATATGTATATTATTCTGTTTAAATATAATAAACAATAACAGAGAAATGAAAACTTACCATGGTTTGCCATAACTATGGAGACAAAGGCTACAAAATAAAGTAGCATCGTGGTAAATCTATCACTTGATCTTCCCTATGGATATGAATAGACTGATATTACTACCAAATAAACAGCAATATTGAAATGATTTTTAAATAATGCAAATGTTAACAATGAGTAAAGTCATTATGTCCAACCTTACTCGGGATCTTACACGTGACCTTGTCTCTCTCTCCTCACCCCTCGACCTTTAAACCACTAAAATTTAATAGCATTAATGCTCCTAATATACAAATCACCCTGCAAAATTTTAAAAATTTTGTATTAAAGACACGGGAGTTATTAAACTTTAAAGTGGGTGAATAAAATCGTGCCTCCCTACACATTAAAATCGATACATACAGGAAAAACAAAACCGATTTTTTTTTTCATTTCTCGACGTTTCAAGGTTCCCAAAGTCCAAAAATGTAAAAATTTTGAGGGGTCAATCGCCATACTTTTTTCTCTTTTGTATTTAACAGCCGGGAAAGTAACTGTATTGATTAGTTTCATAGAAGTATAAGAGCCGAATAGAAATTTGTAATAAATTAAATTTGTGATAAAAAACACGTCATTATATCAAATATAAATAACAAATAAAAGTAAAAAAAAAAGTATTTACTTTAAATTGATGAACAAGACACGCTGCAGCCATAAATTTCAGGTCTCATCTCTCTCCGAAAGCCATAAAAATATATCAATAAAAATCAACAAAAGAAATAAAAACTGAATTTTATCCATTTATTAAAACATATAATTAATTTATATCACGTTTTTCATATAATAAACTAAATTTAGGGCCCTCTTCTGCTTAGGGATGCGAACCAAGTGGCCTTGTATAGTACATATTGCCTGTATCTAGATTTATTGACGAACATTGTAATGACAGAAAGGGAAGTGTAATTTACAACTCTTAAGATAGGAAAAGTAATATTATGTCACTTAACGAAGGTTAAAGAAGTCAGAGGGGCCGGTGGCGCAATGGTAGCGCGTCTGACTCCAGATCAGAAGGTTGCGTGTTCGAATCACGTTCGGCTCACTTTCAGTTTTATTTTTTATCCCACTCTTACTTGAAATTATTGTTAAGTTGCGAGCTCTAACATCAATTAAAGACAATGAAAACAGAGTCACGTGTATGAAATAAAAGATGTCCAGAAGGTAGAGTTAGATCAATGAAGTATCTAGAAAGCTTTCTATTGACTCCAGTAGGGGGTGAGTCTAAGTGACAAGCAGCTAATAAGCGAGCCAAAGACATGCTGTAGTATCCAATCCACCTGACCTAGGTGCCTCATGGCGGAATTGAAACAAACTTTATCATTGGCTTGCTTTCTTAGCTACTTTTTGAAGGGATTAACGAAATTCTTACGACCTCCTACACAGCTTTATAATTTTTTGAATATATTTTATTTTATTAATAATAGAATTAATATTTTCTAACAATTTTATGATAGTACAGTATATAATTATATTTCCAATGAAACAAAATTAGTATACAGATATAGGCCTACTTTTCGTTATTTTGTTGATATAACGAATGCATTGTCGTCATAACAATACTGATAATCTATAAATAGAAAATAGAATGTCTGCTTGTTTGTCTGTTGTCTATTTCCTATACATTTCTAAACTCTTTAACCGATCTGGACTATATTTACTTATTATTTTTGTTATAGTTTTAAGAACTAATAAATTTAAAGGAGATGATCTTTTTGATAAGAAGTTATTTATTAGAGTTAATTAGAGTTAGTTTATTAGAGTTATTTATTAGAGTTAATGGGTTACACTTGGCGGTTCACAAATAATCAATACATAAAGCGTTAGTGCAAGGTTAAAATTTCTCATGAATGTCAGAAATTCAAGACATTTTAAGAATTAAAATTTAATTTGTTTTATATCTTGAATGGTTATAATTTGAATTTTTCTTAGGATTTTCGAAGATTAATGCATTCTTCTCCTCCCAAGAATACCAATCTTTCTTGAAAGAATCCCAACCGAGAGTGGCACTAAGATTACTTCTCACTTCATCTCTATATTTTTCCAACTTTCCTATAACTCTTCTAACTTCTCTGCTTTGAACGCTTCCATTTTGAAACTTAGAGCAAGTATCTACCATGCCTAAAATCTCATTAGCTAGAAAGAAAGCACCACTTAATCCTAAAACAGTGCGATTGCTCATTCCACTGCAAAACGGTTTCATGAATTCAAACGCCGAANTCTTCTAACTTCTCTGCTTTGAACGCTTCCATTTTGAAACTTAGAGCAAGTATCTACCATGCCTAAAATCTCATTAGCTAGAAAGAAAGCACCACTTAATCCTAAAGCAGTGCGATTGCTCATTCCACTGCAAAACGGTTTCATGAATTCAAACGCCGAAGAGCTAAAGGTTATATTACCTGTTCCGAGAACGCCATCAATTATATTTCTTCCATTAACAAAAGGCAAATCTTCTAATTTCCAATCAAAAAATTCTTTTAATACAGGGTTTTCTGTAATGTACTGAGCAATTATAGAAATCAAATCACGTTTAGAATGTTTATCGTTTAAAGAATTTTCGTTTAGTCTCAAATTTTCCATTTTTGGTAAAGTTGGAGGAAGATGGGAATTCCAAAAATCATCACTTCGGAAACTCGAATATTTATCTTTATCGAGATAATCACGTATCAGCTGGATTTCCTCCTCGTCTATTGTCTTCAATAAGTTTTTGCATATATTTACCAGCCTAAAATATTCTTTGCTTTCCTTTTCCAATTCTTCTGTGCATTTGAATAACTCATCCATTGTTTCTTTTGCTTCTTTACACAAGTTTTCTGTAAGGAAACTATTCATAGCTGTGGAACCTTCAGAGAAAACCATTCCAAATGTTGTCAGATCAGTTCCCACGTTCTTCCAATCTTTAGATGCTTTCTTGTCATCGATGAATGCACTAGTAATTAAAGCAATGGACCCAACAATTTTTCCAATATCTCCCCCGATTTTGACACAGTTTGCAATATCGGTATTGTTGTTTATACTCTTCTCAATATCCTTTAATTTCTTGACTGCTTTGCCAGATTTCACATCCCACAATCGATAAGAATTCTTAAATTTTGTTTTCTGTACATCAATTCTTCGGACTGATGCAAATAATTCATTCATGTTTTGAGAATTTCTGCAATCTGGAAGCATAAATTATATAATTTATGAAAAATTTAATAACTTCTTTTAAAAAATAATTACTAAACACTGAAGATATACCTTGACTTTTTGTGTTCGAACTCCTGACCCAAGTGCCAGAAGAAGCCATTATTAAGAAATCTATAAATAAATAAAAATATTATTTTATCAGTAATTATACTTTAAACTTAATTAATTTACATGTAGGGTGGCCTAAAAGTCAGATAACCATGTTTTATTGCGAGAAGTTCAGCTATGTTTGCAAGAAATTCAGCAATTTGTAGGCACTTTCAGGAAGATTTGGGTATTAAACTTGAATATTTTGCAAAGTAATTTAGTATAAATAATGTTTTATTAAGATAGAAAAGCTTTATTAATTACGTGTACACTGTATAGTTTTCAGCCCACCCTTCCTGTTATGTACTTTTTGAACACACTTAAACTGTACACGCAATTAATGAGCGACCCCAAAATATGTAATTTAAGCCATTTACTGTAATTTTTAACGTTAAAATTATAAAAATTTAATTTAAAATATTATAAAATATTAGATTTATGTAAATAACAGACTAAGGCAAATTAAAAACAATAAAAATATCCATCTAATGGGAAGTACAGTAAGAATTATACAGTAAAGAATTGCTTAAAAACGCATTTTTTATCCGTGAATAATTAAGGTATAATAGTTTTAAACTTACCTACTCTTACATGTATTTAACTAATGTAGCGGGATTAAATTGTTTCTGTATGAAAACAACGTACAGTCAGTACTGAAGTAGTTATGAGTCGCAGTTTTTATTGTATTGCTAGGTCACGTGGTAAAATTTTTGTAATGGTTTCTGTTATGTTTTGCATTGTAAATTGACAATTATCACTTAACATATATTTAAGTATAGTAAACCGGATTTTGCACGGTATTGAATATTTCTTTCCGTTTAGGCAGGTTATGCAAGTTTCCGTTTTATACAGGTTCCGTTTCAGACAGGTTTCACTGTATAACAAGTACTGTACATTACATCTTATGGGTAGAGATGTGACTGTACCTCTTGTGGTTACTCTATAGACCCTTATATTCTATTAATACATATTGACATATAGGCTACATGTGTTTCTATGTATGTACTGTACAGTCTGTACTGTACATAGAAATTTTAAGAAATTTTCGAGCAATAAAGAGGTTTTCTGTTTCAGTTCAGCAGCTCTTTAATATGCAACGTTTTAATAATGTAGGGCCCACCAGTGGCCGAGTGAATAAACCCAACGAACACTGGTCGTGGGTTCGCACCTGGCCAACGGGCTGGCTACGTGAAGTTTCCGGATTATCTTCACGTTTGTAACATTTAAATAAGGTTAGAAAATCCTCCTGTGAGGCATCCCGCTTCTGTACGTGTCGAGTTGTCTTATATAAATAATCTAATCAATAATGTTGGTGTACAACCCATGGGGCGTGCAACTGAGCCATGAAATTGGAGGATAAAATATACCATCCATTTTTTTACAAGTAAAGGATAATTAACATCAAACTACTACTTCATTTTTGAATTGTCTTAATAATACTATACCTTATTTACATACCTTTCTCTCCAGATCCTTCCACTTGACATGAAATCACCTTGTATAAATTAATTTCACGTATATATACCTTTTATACAGATACTGAATAATCATTTTTTGATATGATTTTATGATAATATCAACTTTATTTTGGTTTCGGTTACAGTTTTAGTTTGATTTTTCCCTTAGAAAATTCTCACTAATACTTGATTAAGAATGTTTATTACAAGAATTATGCCTTAACAGTTAAATATCTACAAATTTTTATATATTAATTGTTTAAATTCAATGTAAGTTATTTAATTTTATCTTTATTATCATTGTTTCTTCTATAATTGATTAGCCCGAATTATTCCTTTATCTTGTTTTAATTGAGATATGAAAAAAATTTTCTTTTTATATTAAAAAAAATATAGTTTACAAGAGTATTTTATATTGCAAAATAAGGTAAACACCCTTTTTCCTGCAGGTTGAGCTAGTGTAACTATCTTTATATTACACCTATATTTTGCTTCACCTATTCACTATTGCTATTTATGAAAGATTAAAGAAATTGTAAGATCTGCAAGGGGTGCGATCCTTAAAAGACTTCCTATATGTATCTGGCCCTTATTTAAATGTAGAAATTGAATAGAATGCATTTTTGAAAGACTTTATACACGAAACAGGCCCTTATACGCATAAATAAAACACGAAAAACTTCAAATGGACAGCCCATTAGTAAGGATCGAACCCGTGACCAACTATCAGTTTACAGCGTTTTTATCTAGAGGCTCTATTTATACACTTAAATACTGTTGATTCATTTTAAAATGGAAAATGGCGTGTATTAAACTACAGACATACAGGACTTATTCTTTTTATAATATTTAAAGTAAGTCCTGTTTGTATACAGTTGACCCCTCCTATAACACTGTTGATTATTCCGTTTTATATGAATTTCATGTTGTACGAGTCACTTAGATTTTACAAATACGTGAGTCGTTCACAGCCCAGCACACGTATTTGTAAAATCTAAGTGACTCGTATAACATGGAATTCATATAAAACGGAATTATCAACAGTATTATAGGGGGTCGACTGTATTTAATTTTTTTTTTTACATGAATATTTACTTCAATTAAAATAAAATAAATGACTAACGAAATGAAACCAATTCTGAAATTGTAAACTTAAGTAAGTTTGCATTATGAGACAGGTTACTTTTTTTAAAACGGAAACGGAAATGACTAATATTTTATCTTTTAATTATTTAATAATACATTCCAAACGCATTTAGACATTATGAAATAATAAGATTTTNTCGGTTCAGTTTCACTAGTTGGGTTTTCAGAATTGTTTGGTTCGGTAGAACCTGTTGGATTCTCAGAATTGCTAGACTCTGTTTCTCTGGTTGGAGAGACAGAACTTTGTGATTCTGTTGTTTCTGTATAGAATGTAATAATACTTGAAAGTGATGTCGATTCTTCTGTTCCAGTCTCTGTGCTTAATGTATTAGTTTCCGATGTTGATTCTGATGTATCCGTTAGTGACTCTGAAGTTGAATGTGTTTCGCTTGTCTGCTCACTTTCTGTTTTCGCTGTCGATGATACTTCATTCGTTTCCGTGCTAATGATCCCAGTATTTGTTTCTGTACTAGCAATTATAGTACTGGTTGTAGTTTCTTTTTCTGTATTTGTTGTTTCACTTCTTTCCGTGTTAGTTGAAGGAAATATAGTAATTTCCCTTGTCGTGAAAGGTGGTGTATCACTTTCTGATTGTGGTCTAGTTGTAAATGTGGTAAAGAAAATATTCGTAGTGTGTGTTTCAGTGGGTGATGGATCTTCACCAAGTAACTGAAATTGAAAGAAACTTTATAGAATTTATTCAAGAAGAAAGAAACAATATTTAATGTAGAATAGAAGATTGAAACGAAACAAAGTACTTACTCTTCTTAAGAAATCCCTAAAGTCACCTATGAAATATATTAAATTCACAAATTACTAGAAATATATGAACACATTTAAAGACTTATAAATACCTAGAGGGTGGCCTAAAAGTCAGATAACCATGTTTTATTGCGAGAAGTTCAGCTATGTTTGCAAGAAATTCAGCAATTTGTAGGCACTTTCAGGAAGATTTGGGTATTAAACTTGAATATTTTGCAAAGTAATTTAGTATAAATAATGTTTTATTAAGATAGAAAAGCTTTATTAATTACGTGTACACTGTATAGTTTTCAGCCCACCCTTCCTGTTATGTACTTTTTGAACACACTTAAACTGTACACGCAATTAATGAGCGACCCCAAAATATGTAATTTAAGCCATTTACTGTAATTTTTAACGTTAAAATTATAAAAATTTAATTTAAAATATTATAAAATATTAGATTTATGTAAATAACAGACTAAGGCAAATTAAAAACAATAAAAATATCCATCTAATGGGAAGTACAGTAAGAATTATACAGTAAAGAATTGCTTAAAAACGCATTTTTTATCCGTGAATAATTAAGGTATAATAGTTTTAAACTTACCTACTCTTACATGTATTTAACTAATGTAGCGGGATTAAATTGTTTCTGTATGAAAACAACGTACAGTCAGTACTGAAGTAGTTATGAGTCGCAGTTTTTATTGTATTGCTAGGTCACGTGGTAAAATTTTTGTAATGGTTTCTGTTATGTTTTGCATTGTAAATTGACAATTATCACTTAACATATATTTAAGTATAGTAAACCGGATTTTGCACGGTATTGAATATTTCTTTCCGTTTAGGCAGGTTATGCAAGTTTCCGTTTTATACAGGTTCCGTTTCAGACAGGTTTCACTGTATAACAAGTACTGTACATTACATCTTATGGGTAGAGATGTGACTGTACCTCTTGTGGTTACTCTATAGACCCTTATATTCTATTAATACATATTGACATATAGGCTACATGTGTTTCTATGTATGTACTGTACAGTCTGTACTGTACATAGAAATTTTAAGAAATTTTCGAGAAATAAAGAGGTTTTCTGTTTCAGTTCAGCAGCTCTTTAATATGCAACGTTTTAATAATGTAGGGCCCACCAGTGGCCGAGTGAATAAACCCAACGAACACTGGTCGTGGGTTCGCACCTGGCCAACGGGCTGGCTACGTGAAGTTTCCGGATTATCTTCACGTTTGTAACATTTAAATAAGGTTAGAAAATCCTCCTGTGAGGCATCCCGCTTCTGTACGTGTCGAGTTGTCTTATATAAATAATCTAATCAATAATGTTGGTGTACAACCCATGGGGCGTGCAACTGAGCCATGAAATTGGAGGATAAAATATACCATCCATTTTTTTACAAGTAAAGGATAATTAACATCAAACTACTACTTCATTTTTGAATTGTCTTAATAATACTATACCTTATTTACATACCTTTCTCTCCAGATCCTTCCACTTGACATGAAATCACCTTGTATAAATTAATTTCACGTATATATACCTTTTATACAGATACTGAATAATCATTTTTTGATATGATTTTATGATAATATCAACTTTATTTTGGTTTCGGTTACAGTTTTAGTTTGATTTTTCCCTTAGAAAATTCTCACTAATACTTGATTAAGAATGTTTATTACAAGAATTATGCCTTAACAGTTAAATATCTACAAATTTTTATATATTAATTGTTTAAATTCAATGTAAGTTATTTAATTTTATCTTTATTATCATTGTTTCTTCTATAATTGATTAGCCCGAATTATTCCTTTATCTTGTTTTAATTGAGATATGAAAAAAATTTTCTTTTTATATTAAAAAAAATATAGTTTACAAGAGTATTTTATATTGCAAAATAAGGTAAACACCCTTTTTCCTGCAGGTTGAGCTGGTGTAACTATCTTTATATTACATCTATATTTTGCTTCACCTATTCACTATTGCTATTTATGAAAGATTAAAGAAATTGTAAGATCTGCAAGGGGTGCGATCCTTAAAAGACTTCCTATATGTATCTGGCCCTTATTTAAATGTAGAAATTGAATAGAATGCATTTTTGAAATACTTTATACACGAAACAGGCCCTTATACGCATAAATAAAACACGAAAAACTTCAAATGGACAGCCCATTAGTAAGGATCGAACCCGTGACCAACTATCAGTTTACAGCGTTTTTATCTAGAGGCTCTATTTATACACTTAAATACTGTTGATTCATTTTAAAATGGAAAATGGCGTGTATTAAACTATAGACATACAGGACTTACCCTTTTTATAATATTTAAGGTAAGTCCTGTTTGTATACAGTTGACCCCTCCTATAACACTGTTGATTATTCCGTTTTATATGAATTTCATGTTGTACGAGTCACTTAGATTTTACAAATACGTGAGTCGTTCACAGCCCAGCACACGTATTTGTAAAATCTAAGTGACTCGTATAACATGGAATTCATATAAAACGGAATTATCAACAGTATTATAGGGGGTCGACTGTATTTAATTTTTTTTTTTACATGAATATTTACTTCAATTAAAATAAAATAAATGACTAACGAAATGAAACCAATTCTGAAATTGTAAACTTAAGTAAGTTTGCATTATGAGACAGGTTACTTTTTTTAAAACGGAAACGGAAATGACTAATATTTTATCTTTTAATTATTTAATAATACATTCCAAACGCATTTAGACATTATGAAATAATAAGATTTTTATTTAAATATTATAATTATTTTTAATTTAATTAATTAATAATTAAATTAAGCAAATGCTTATTATGGTTTGGAAATTGATTTACAGTGTCCACATACAGCAAAATGTATTAGTTTCCAGCGAACAATTGTGTTTAAATTCACTAAAATAATTTGGCATTTATTTTTCGTATATAATTTACATGATTATAACCTAATACTTTACATAAATTAATGAAATTCATTTAGTATATAATTAAAATTCTACATTTATGAGTACAGAAGGATGAATCAAGAACTACAAAGACGTTGCTGATTTTGAGGTTGATGATCGTTATTAGGTTCATTTCCACAAAGTCCATTGCGACAAATAGATCTTTCATCCTATTGGAAAAAAAATCAAAATTAAATACAATAAAATCCTAAATTTTATTATATAATTTCAATTATTATCACATTTAAAATCATTTACATTGTAGGTGCAAGGGGAACCATTTTTTCTATTTATGGTACATATTTTTGGTGGTACGGTGGGACACAAGAAATGCACTTCACACTGGATTTTACATGGCGATGGATTATCCTGAAAAGAAACAATTTTCTAATTCTAATATTATACATATTGTGGATAGCGTATGATTACGTCAGTCAAAACAGAAACACAACAGGCTCTTATAACTGGGTCGACAGAAAATTGAGGAGCAGAGATTGACATATCCAACATCTATTCATTTAAACTTTCAGCTTCTCTCCAATAAGACCCGGAAGCATCTACCACGCAAGGGGAAGCTACATCATACTGGAGAATGACAATTGACAGTCCTCTAGATTTATACATTTTTGGACTCGACACCTTGAAACGTCGAGAAATGCAAAAAAAATTCGGGTGTTTTTTTTCCTGTATGTATGGGTGTTAGTTGTATGTACACGTGTGTATGTGGGGGCACAATTTTGTTCACTTTCTTTGGAGCTTAATAACTCCTGTGTTTTATGTCGAAAATTTCTGAAATTTTTCATGGAGGTTTGTGTATTAGGGGTATTGATGCTATTAAATTTTGGTGCTTAAGAATCGAGAAGATGGGGAGATACAGGGCCTGTAGGGACTATGTGTAATATCTCAAGTTGGGTTGGAACTTAATGATTTTTATTCATTATTAACTTTACAATAATTTAAATAAAACTTATCCTTATTCTTACAATTAAGTTTTTTTCTATTTTATATTTAATTATATAAATTTTTTTAAATAAAATATAACAACAGATAATGCCACACGCAGTTTTAAATGTTTTTGCAGGAAAAGTTACACAACTAGCTTTTGGATTTTTCACATTACTTTTATAAATTAAAAATTACAAATTTTGGAAATATTCCGTTCAATATTTATCTGAAAATAAGAGTTAATGAAATTTAATTAATTATCTTTTCAGAAAAAATAAAAAAATGCCACGCTGCTAGCTCGTTGATACAGCGTGAACCTTCGACCAACTACAAGCAGTGTTTAGTGGTTTTATCTACTCGGCCACTGGTAGCTTCTAGAAACATAGTTTTATTGTTACGTAGTAAAGTAGATAACACAAGTCTTTTAGTTTATGTAGAATATGTGAATCTATAAAACACTAATTGAAAATTTCATCTACATCATCAGTTGGACAAAAACAGGATGAGGGATTTTACACTAAAATGGCTTCCATGCCAAATCTGATATAAGAATGTCTCTTTCATTATTCAGTAACTTCATACAAAAAAAAAACTATACAGTCACCCCCCATAACACTGTTGATTATTCCATTTTATATGAATTCCATGTTGTACGAGTCACTTAGATTTTACAAATACGTGTGATGGGTCGTGAACGGCTCACGTATTTGTAAAATGTAAGTGACTTGTACAACATGGAATTCATATAAAACGGAATAATCAACAGTGTTATGGGGGGTCGACTGTATGTGCATATAACCCACTAGGTGCTTAATATAATGCAGTTCTACACCTGACATTCTACTTTTCGTTAGTTTTGTAGAATTGCTATAAATTTTAAAACTACTTAAACAATTTGAATGAAGCCAAATTCATAAAAAGATGATTTTGACTTTTACAGGTATTATTTCCTGAATATCATACAATAACGAATGAAGTCAATATATCAGTAATGTTCCTATTGAACAATACACATACAGTGGAACGTCGTTTATCCGAATCAATTGGGGAATGGGGTTCTTCGGATAACTTGTTTTTCGGATAACCGATTGTGTACGAAAAAATATATTAACCTATCCCATGTTGAAATTTTTTTCCGTTGCGTGTCGCTTCGCGTTGAATTTTCGTCGATGTTAAGCCTAACGTATTCTTTTTAAAANAAAGTCACCTATGAAATATATTAAATTCACAAATTACTAGAAATATATGAACACATTTAAAGACTTATAAATACCTAGAGGGTGGCCTAAAAGTCTGGTAACCATTGCAAATTTTAAATTGAGATTTGATAACTAAATTAATTAAATAAATACATTTAATTTAACTTCACTTTTTAAATCATGTTTTTGCGAAATTTTTGGAACAAAGATGATTACATTGTTCTAAACTTGGCTTACGACTCATATTTAAAAATTGAATTTGGAACATACAGAGCAGAATGCGGTTAATATAATAATTTAACTTGCTGTAAAGACCCAATATTTATTTATCCCTATGCCTTTTTATATAGGTCAAACTTAATTTAAATCACATTCGAATGGTTCATTGTCGAGAGTTCTTGAGTTAGTATTTGACAGTAAGGACACCAAATTTGACAGTAGGTACACCAAATTTGGTATCCTATTGTATGCGATTTCGATTTCCGGACAAAATGAATTTACTTCAAAATTCAGCACCTAGGGAAAAATTGGCGCTGCTCTTACCATATTACATGAGATCACACGCTGTTTCTTTGATACAAGCCAAAATTCGTTATAATACGTACGTAATAGACACATGAAGTTGACAGTAGCGCTAAATTTAGCCCTAGCGGCTAAATTTTAAACAATTTTTTTTCGAAAATCAAAACCTCATACTCAGTACAGTACGAATACCAAATTTGGTTGAGATTTGCCTAGTAGTTCTTCCTATACCGAGCCCTTAATATCTATTCTTTAATTATGATTGCCCGGTATACATTTCCAATTTAAAATTTCAAAATATTTATGCTATAATTTTTTCTCACAATTTACATTGTTTCGTTTACTGTCTTTTTATACATACAATATTAATTATTAATTATTTTAATTGCCATTTGGGTTTCAGTACAGTAGTTTAAATTCTATTCTTTTCTTCAATTATAAACCTGTAAAGATGGCCTACAAAAATGCAGCAGGAAAACAACACTACATGAATCACTACAAATGAATAATTATAATTATTAATTGTTTCAAAATGACCTTTAAAGGTCAAAGTCAATAAAATCACAATTTCCATTAATTCACGTTTAACCTCTAAACAACGGCCAATTTTTATATTCCTGTCAGTGGCCGTTGTTTACAGGTTTGTGTATATTATTATTTGATTCACGTAACATTCTTATTCAATCCCATTTTCTGATTTTAATAAGTGCTTAATTAAATAATGATTAAATTTCTATTTCATTTCGAAGAGAACCGAACCTACGACTTTCGTATTAGATTCAGTAATAACTACTGTTAATTTTTTAAATAATAATTGTTTTATAATCATTTTTATTAAATTATAAATAAATTTTATTACGAATTCCATACTTAAATATATTACAAAATTATTGAAAATAATTATAGAAATGGAAATAAAATGAAATAACGTTCGTGTTTATCACTAATAAAACTTTTATTGCCTGTGTATAACATCGGAAATGTCACGCTGGTGTTTCTCGTTAAAAATTTATTGTTCTCACCGCTACATTCAAACATATAATTATACAGTTATATCATTTATCATTAATATTTTTAATTATATTATATATAAAAATTATATTACTCCTTTTTCTACTATACGAAATTCAATTAAAGGGTGATTGGATACAGCTATTGTCTATTGGTGTACTAATTGATGTATCAATACACAGTAATTCTTACTATTGTGTATTGGCGCACCAATTGGTTCATTAAGTATTGATACATTTTTCTCTACCCATTCATTACCTTCTTTGTCCTAAGACTTGAGCACAAAAAAGGTCCCAAAATTTAGTTTTTTATCTAAAAACACTAATTATTAAAATAAAGAAAGTAAACTAAAAAGCATTGTATAGGGCTCCTACTTTCTTGAGGCTCAGAGCAATTTGATTCATTTATTTCCCTCAGGGAGACCCTGCAGTTTTATGAAAAAAAGACTGAATTTGAGGGCCACTGTGTCCGCATCTCAAGACAGTAATTAATGATAACAGTATTATAACAAAAGAAGGGCCCAGGAAACCCGGGTCCCTTATCTTTAAAAATAAGCAAACATCTAANGCAATTTCAGGAATTTGACTTGCTTAATTACTCCTTGAGCAGCGCACGCATCTTCTTCCGAGCCGACTTAACAGCTGCCGAGGAAAAAGAACAAAAATCCAAAGGTAAACCTTTTTAAAATTATCAATATTATTTAGTTAGGGATATTTTTTTTTAAAAAACATTTACAAAGATATTTATTTTATACAATTTAAACATTAAAAAAGAAAACTTTTTCCATAACTTTTTAGGAAACAATTCGACAGAAGGATCCTGTGGTAAGCAATCATTTTTCTTTTTTTTACATTTTGCTTCTTAATTTATTCACCCACTAAATTAGGTTTATTTTTTGTATGTGTATATATTATTTTTTTGTGCTTTTTCTATAAATTAGCTAATAGTGCATGCTAAAATTTTTGTTTCAGAATCTGCATCAGTTGATATTACCTCTTATTCAATTATGTAGATTAACAGCATGGTTTTAGGTGATGGTGGTCACTTTTTTTTTCCTTAACATTAGTTTTTTTCTCCCTTACTGCTGTTAATTCATATTAAAAAATTACATATATATATATATATATATATTTATTTATTTATTTATTTATTTAATAATAATTTCAATTAGTTTGTCAAAATTATCGCATAAGCTCCATACTCGGTAAAGGTGTGCTGTACGACTCCATTCGATATCATAGATCTAAATAATCTCGCATATATTCATAATAGAGCGATATACTCCTTTGTCTTGCTTTCAAGATCATTGCTTTTATATTGAAAATAACAAAGAAAAGCCCTGTTTTCATCCTTTTCAAAAATTTATGGCAGGTCATTGATAAAAAGAATAAACAAACAAGGGCTCAGTGATTCCCCTGGGGTAGTTCTTTACTTCAACCTATACCATCAGATGATAAATCATTTCTTTTAAATTCTATATTAAGATGCGTTATACGAGTAGTTTCATGGGGTCCAGGCAACTTTGAATTTGGGAGAATTTGCGACATCCCTTCGGAGGCAGATTGCTTCCGAAGGGATGTCTCAAGGAGGGCTTTCTATGGAAAATTAGTCCCAATTTAGGTGTTACAACCTCCACAATGTCCAGTTAATAAACTGGACATGTGGAGTTTTCTTCACATTGCGGAGGCGCGAACCCACGACTAACTTCCAGTGTTAAATGATTCTATTCCCTCGATCACTGATGAGCTTCTTTGCCTTAGAAATACATCGAAAATATTTCTGATCTTCATAAAGTTCCTTAAGATGATGTATCTATCTCACTCCTCCTAAACTTAGTTAGCATCTGATTCTTCTTTTCTTTATATTTCCAAAATCTTTGTCTCCAATACAAATGTTTGAGCAGGTCGTAACACCCCTCTTTATATAGCAGATGACTTTATTAGTTGAATAATAAAATAGTTTCATTCGTTAATTTGTAAACCAGCCATATCAACAGCCTTTGATGATGATGAATCATCAAATTCTCAACTCACAAACTAATAAAATGACTCTTCAATGAATTCCATTTCATTATAAATTCTTTCTTATTCGGTTGTTGACAAGTCGCGACTTGCCAATATACTATTTGTTGCAACAAAATTCTTTTAAATTCTACCACTTAATATTACCAAATTATTTTTCAGTATGGTTTCAATGATTATTGTATATTGAAACTTACGGTTATTGAAAATTTGGCAGTTAGCAGGTGCTATACTGTCAAACAGCTCGTCGATTCTTGCGCTGTCATCCCCTAAAAGAATAACATTGCTTGTTATTCTCAAATTTATTAATTAATATATCTTATAATTCTATAAGAAAATAATACATTAGAACATCCATATAAAAATTTATTCACGTTAATTTTATATTCTCATACACTATAAAATATTTTGATTGATAAACCTTATGTAATGGTCTGATTGATTTTTTATTAACATCAATAATGGCTTTATAGCAAACAATTCAATCAGTTCAAAGTCAGGGAGGCCTTACCCGTCATGACACTGATTACATGAACATTAATCAGTACATGAGTTTATTTGCAAACAACTGCTTATGAACATTCCTGTACCATTTCTGAGTAATTCCTAATGTTGTTTGTTTCATAAGTCCAGAAGAAAGTCACTTATTTTTCTGTTATAAGTTACATTCATTCTCACTAATCCTCTTCGTCAACATGCCTTGTTTTAATATACTTCATCTTTTCCTCCAAGTCAAAACCTTCCATCTTTCATAATTAGTTAGTCTTCCATCTTTTATTGTCTTCCTACAATCTTCTTTATGAACTAGTATTTTACTATTGTTTTCCAAGTCCTGATGTTTGATCTCTCTTCCTCTCTAAATGTTGCCCACAATTTTCTTTACTTAGTCTTCTCGCTATTCTTTCCAAAACCCGTTCGTTTCACATAGCCAAACACTCCAACATGCTTCAAGAGTGACAATGTAAAATGCAAAGCCTGCTGATACAGGACAGTATCATTACCAGTGTTTGGATCCCTAAAAGAAGTAAATAAAACCACTGAACATGAGTCGCGGGTTCAAGCCTCACCAACGCTATGTCTTCTGTGTTTTCTACACCTAAATAAAGCCAACTTTTTTAATAGAAAGTTCTCCCCAGTGGCAAACCCTCACGTGAACTTACTAAACACAACTTGTACGAATATTTTCTCACAATTTATATAAAAATATTCAATTTAATATTAAAGATTAGTACTATTAAAAACTATTAATCAAATATATAATTAAACATAAAACGTTTGAATAAATCTAATGAGTTTTAATTAATTAAATATTATTTTAAATTTTAAATTTACCTGTAACTAAAACTATAGACAATATGTAGAAATAAATTATACATTCCATCTTTACACTTGATTCGTGTATGAGCTAGAAAATGACATCAATGTCGAATAGTGTGCGTACTATACGGTAGATGTACACGTGATAACATGCCTTCTAGGAATTATCATTGTACAAATGATAAATCCATTATAAATCTATAATTGTATATGCAGATGATGTTATAACATAATTTTTAATTCTCTTCCTGTAGTTGTTTATTTTATAATATTTGTATTTTTAATTAATGTAATAAGTTATTATTTTTTAAAATATAATTTCTGTAGTATTAAGTATCAGCCCGTCAAATGGCCGAAAGGTTAAGGTTACAATCTACCGCTGTGAAGACCCGCGATTGAATCCAGAGGGTTCGATAGGTTGATTATTAACAGCAAATCTGCCAAAGGGAGTTTTTTCTATAGGAAACTGGCCCTTAAATCACTTAACACACTCCTTTTACAGAATATAGAATGTACCCAACGTTTATTTGCTCATATCATGAACACATTATACCAAAAAGAAACAGATTGATGCGTGTTACACGCACGGCCGCCATCTTGGTGTCCATATTGAATGCAACTGTAAATGAGAAGTGGGTCGTGTGATACATGATTTAGGGTCAGAATTTCACAAGGAAATGATTGCTGAAAGTTTTTATAACCTACATCAAACGGTTAAGGAGTTATGCACGTTACACGATGTGCTGAATGTACATTCTTTGAGTACAGGTACTGTACATTTTATATTCTGTATCAGGGGTGTTAACATCTAAATAGTGTGCCAGTTTCTCTTAGAAAGTCCTACAGGAGACGTCCCTCCTGAGGAAAGGTCAGATGATGGGATGAGGCAAAGCAACACGTGCCCACGTGTTTCTTTGCATCATCCCATCAAACCTCAAACCTTCATTTTATTTTCATTTTTCTATTTATATAAGCCAATATAATTTAGGAATTAAAACTGTATACATTTTTAACAGAAAGCACTAATTTTAAAAATAAATCACGAACATTTACGTTAAAATCAATAAAATTTCGTTATATTGACAAAGAGCGCCATCTAATGGATGAATATAATACTATTTGTATAATAATATGATTAAATAATTTCAAGTCATTTTATTTTATGTAATTCCACCTAAAACGAATTTTATAAGTAAAATATTGCAATAATTTTTTAAAAATTTTAAAAATTTTAAATATAATCGAAAAATAAATTTTTTATGAATTGTTATTTTATTATTATTTATTTTATATATTTTATCGTTATATAACATTTATAAATAATCAAAAATACAATAAATATTTTATTATTTTGGTATGATTAAGAATATATAACAATATTTAATTGAATTATTTATTTCCATTAAATAAAAATTTGATTATAGTGTTAGTATAGTAAAGTTAATAGTTTTATTTTCATGGCTTAGAACAGAAAGAAAATATAAGGCTCAGCGCAAAAAGAACAAGGCTCAGAGTAAAAACAGTAGGCCTATATAAGGCTTAGAATAAAAACAGTATATAAGGCTCAGAATAAAAAAGAAGATACTGTATAAGGCTCAATAAAAAGATATAAGGCTCAGCACGAAAAGAAAATATAAGGCTCAGCGGAAAAATAACAAGGCTCAAAATAAAAACAGTATATAAGGCTTAGAATAAAAACAGTATATAAGGCTCAAAATAAAAAGAAGATACTGTATAAGGCTCAATAAAAAGATATAAGGCTCAGCACGAAAAGAAAATATAAGGCTCAGCGGAAAAATAACAAGGCTCAAAATAAAAACAGTATATAAGGCTTAGAATAAAAACAGTATATAAGGCTCAAAATAAAAAGAAGATACTGTATAAGGCTCAATAAAAAGATATAAGGCTCAGCACGAAAAGAAAATATAAGGCTCAGCGGAAAAATAACAAGGCTCAAAATAAAAACAGTATATAAGGCTTAGAATAAAAACAGTATATAAGGCTCAAAATAAAAAGAAGATACTGTATAAGGCTCAATAAAAAGATATAAGGCTCAGCACGAAAAGAAAATATAAGGCTCAGCGGAAAAATAACAAGGCTCAGAATAAAGGAAGATATAAGGCTCGGAATAAAAAGAAGATATAAGGCTCAGAATAAAGGAAAGTATAAGGCTCAGAATAAAAAGAAGATATAAGGCTCGGAATAAAAAGATATAAGGCTCAGCGCGAAAATAACAAGGCTCAGAATAAAAAACAGTATATAAGGCTCAGAATAAAAGAAGATATAAGGACGATATAAGGCTCAGCACGAAAAGAACAAGACTCAAAACAAAAAGAAGACATAAGGTTTAGGCTCAGCTCAAGAATACTTGCAAAAATGTCTAAAATAAGGAAGGTTTTAAGTTAAAGAAAACTTCTAAGAATTATTTAAAATAATGAAAGATGTAGGAAAAACATTTGAAGATAGAAATATTCGAAATACTTTAACCACGTACCTTTTTACTAAGTTACTATAATACACTAGAATGGCCAAGAAAGCTAAGGATTAATCCTTAATGATAAAGGATTAACATTTAATATTTTAAACGATTCTCTGCTTAAATCAATATATTCATTATTCTTCTCTTCAGTAGGAAAGTCGATTGTGTGATATACCTAATCGACCTTGAATCTGATGAGAATGGGAAGTGGAGGACTCATTTTCAAGAAATGTATAGGCCTATGTGTTTTTTTCTGGCTATAATGGGGTGATAAACACTACGATAAATGTTCTACTGCAAAGTTTTG